GGTAACGCTTTTAGTTTGCGGAGTTCCTGGATTAATAACCCGTCATTCTTGAATGCCAAAAGGGATTGAAAACGTGTATTCCCATGATTGTATTTTGGGGCTCCCAGATGTTGTACACGCGGTGGTCTAGGGTCAACCGGCGATTCAAAAAGGAATGTTGGTCGATGATGAAGTGTATGAGGTGTTTGAAAGAATAGTCGATACAGCTGGTGATGTTATCAGCTGACCGGAAGGTTGTGTAGTAAAATTTAGATGGAACACTATATGCTTAGTTACGTTCAATTATCACTGCTTTCGCAGTTTAGCTCATGTCTGGTAGGAACGCCGCGTAATACATAAGTGTGTACGGCGCCTTGTATTTGGTGCAGGTGAGGGTTCTCTGCAAAGCCCTCACCTCCCTATTCGAACGTATCTAGAAGGAAGTCTCCCGGCTAATTGGAGCGTATCGATTATATTGACAATATTCAGGAACGGCAGTCACACAGACTGTTCTAACCACAGGGCTATTATCCTATCGCCAGTTGTGACAAATTACTGGTCTCCATTCTCGTTCGTCGCCTCACTATGGAACGGGAATCTCGGATTATGGAAGCACAGGCAGGTTTCTGCACAGGGCCTGGATGTATAGGCTATATATTTACTCTGCGGCATTTGCTAGAGCAGCGCCACACATACTGCAGACCAACAATAGCTGTGTTCCTCGATTTCAAGATGCGTCCGACTCAGTCGATCGATCGATTCTGTACGAAATACTTGCGCGGCAAGCTGTTTCCACGAAATATGTGGACATTTTACGTTCCCTATGCTCGAACACTACAGGCCGCGTCAGGGTCTACGGTGACCTCTTTGATAGCTTTCCGACCACAAGTGGCGTTCGTCAGGGTTGTCCGATTCCCAGTTTTTGTTCAGTTTCGTCGTGGATTCTAGCATGGAGTGTTCCTTTGCGGAATATCACCATTTAGGTGTTGTGGTCCTGCCTGGTGAAAGATTAGTTGATGTTGATTATGTGGACGATATCGTCTTGATTTTCGACGATGCTGCGGCAGCACAATAAACCCTGAATAGCCTGTCTAGAGTGGTCCCATTATTTGCTATGCGCTTCGCACCTTCAGATTGTAGTGTTGCTGCAGGACCACCGGCCACTTTGTGACTTGACGCTTGTTAACGAGGAACTCGAGGTGGTTGATAAACTCACTTGTCTTGGCAGCTGCATCAGCAACGATGGACGCATAGAAACCGACGTCAGCTCGCGCATTGGAAAGGCCAGAATTGCCTTCTTGAACCTGCGGCATCTTTGGCGACAGAAGGGAGTTTACCTCCGTCTGAAAGGCCAAAGCCACAGTGAGGGCCGTTCTGCCCTATGGGAGTGAGACTTGGCCTCTTCGGTCTGAAGATCTGAGGTGCCTTCAAGTCTTTGATCATCGTTGTCTGCGAAGCATTGCTGGAGTCGGATGGCACCAGCGTGCCCGCAACTATGATGTGCGTAGGCGACTACTTGGTAGTGATAATCATGCTAACTCCCTAGAACAACAGATAGCACTCAATAAGTTGCGTTGGCTTGGGCATGTGCTATGTATGCCTGGTCGCCGCTTACGTAAAAGGGCCTTGTTCAGTCTAGTATGTGTAGGATGGCGTAAGGCTCGAGGTGGACAGAAGTTGAGTTGGCAGCGGGAAATGAAGTCACTGACGACCAAACTGAGTGCCGTTGGTCCGTCTCGTCTTCCGGACTGGAGCCCACGTGACTCGCCTCGTGCTTGGCTCGAGACTTTACTGGACACGGGCTGCATTGGCGCGTCTGCTGCCGTCTCCTAGTCGGGTTGCCTGTTTGAAGTGTGTTTGGTGCTGAGTTATCTGCTGGGTAATGGCTGATTATGACGCGTGGCAGTGAAAGCCGCAAGGAAGCTGTCTCGCCGATGCCGCCTTACCTTTGCACGATAACCAGCTGTTTGTGACGATATGTTGTCTACACAAAGTGTAGCCACCTTGACCCTGAATGTTTGTTTGGGGCATTAAGGTTTTCAAGTAAGTCGCCTTCTCTCCCTCTTCTTATTCATTAGTTCATAGGTCATCATGGTTGTATGACAGCGAAGCAACAGTTCACATAACTGATGTACTGCTGTTGTTGATTGATTAGTTGGTGCAGGAAGGGGGAGTGAACTGCTCAGCACTGTTATTTCACGCACCGGGCTCCAGTGGCTGTGACACGTGTTGCGCATGCCAGCATACCGACTCCTGCGACGTGTGTTGTTTTCTTGCTGGTGGTCTGGATAGTAAAGAACGATGTCAAGCGTTGACTGAAGACGAATGATGTCCCTCACCTCGAACTTGGCGTCGGTCGGTGTGTCGCTACTCCCGGGCTGTGGTCCTTAAGTCGATGCACACATTTGGTTGAGTACACTTAGTGGTGTGGCGAGGAGGCGACCTCAGTGGCTTTTGTGCTGCGAGTTTCTTCTTCCCTCTCCTTTAGCTTTCACTTCCAACAACAATCTCACCCAATGCACAATGTGATACCTAGTATTATATTACTTGTTTTTTAAATTATGTTTTTATGGTCTGAGATGTTTAATATCTTACCTTTTTATATTGTCGCATATTAACTAAGATGTATTTCGCACTCTCAGCTATTATGCATTGATGGTGATGGTATCGCATTCCACTCTACGTGCCAGTCGGACATTGGTCTAAATCCCGTCATGTCGAGATGTGTGCAACTTCATCGAATGACCGCGGGGAGATGGTGGCAGAGTTGGCTTGAAAAATCATGACAAATCAGGATTTTAAAGACGCACTAAGGATGTTACCTAGCTTCGTAACGAAACATCTGCAACTGAAATGCCCAGCTCGGAGAACAGGACGATCCTCTCATCCACATCTCGAGCTACTGGTATTCTCAATAATTTCCAGACTAACTGCTACTTGGTGTCCGCCTTTTCAAACGCAACATTGTTCCCTGTTTGACCGCATAGCAAGTACAAGATAGCTCGGAAGCATAACAGATTACCGATCAAACTAATCAATTTGTCTGGACTACGCTTACGCATTAGTTCGGGCTGAGATGTGCATGCGTTTCGGCGGAATTCTCAGACGTTCGCACTACCGACCGAACGTTACAAACTACGAAACCATGCAACCTTAACCATATAACGAACTTCGCTGTAAACACTGCTTAGTTCAGCTTCTGACGATGAGCTTGATTCACAGTTGGTGCGCATCAAAGCTACCTTATTTTCTGCAGCTGTCGACAGTTGTGGAGTTACCAGTCACCCACCGAAGAGCTGGTTCCCCGCCGTCCTGTTATCGCTGATTAACAGACATCGCTGGGTCCCGACCGACATCAGTTGTAGTGAAGAACGCCGATCCCTCTGTAGCCTGTCTGAGGGCGTATCTGTAACACGTTTAAAGGTAAGATTTTAATGAGGGTAGCTTCTATTGCCATTGTTGTTTTCTCTAACATTTATCTTCTTGTTTCTATCTCTCACCATTTCTCCATTCTCTCTTCCGTGCTTCCTTCGTCGCCTCTTTTAGATCGGCCTCTTGTTAGGTTGTTGTAATAGGAGCATCTGCCCTCCTACGGCGTATTTAATTTGTGCTGCAGCTTTAAGGGTCTATTACGACCGGCTGTACGAGTTGGATCGCCGGACTGAAGAAACTACGCCTGGATCGAGAATTGCGCAGGAGCTCACGAATGGACCGTAAAACCTGGTGGTATGAATGTGCTAAAGAAATGACATTCGCTAGCCTCTCCAGTAATACCAGAAAACGTTTCCATTTCATCCAAGTCATCGGAGATTTCCGAAACATTCTGCGAAGAAAACGGCTCTCTAATCACTAGTCTTCAACGACGATTGGAAAAATAAGCTAAACATGTTTATCACAACATGCTTCCTTTGGCGCGCGCACACTGATGTTGACTGGTTTATTCCATAGATTTTCCTCATTGTGAAATCTGGCAGAAACTCAGCTTCTTAAAGCGCTATAAAGCACCTGGATCTGTTGGTCTACTTCTTACTCTAATTAAAGATGGCACCTGTTTGCAGGCTCGGGAACTCAGGTACGTTATCAAAAATACGATCAATAAAGGAAGTTCCATTGTTATCTTCAGATTGTGCCTACCCACATTATACTGCAACCCCCCCCCATCGTTTGCAAGGTTCTAGTGTTTCTCTTCTTAGGTTATCTCCAACGCACGAATCGCTACAGGTTAAAGAATAGGTTGGGTTCCGTCCTGGTGGCAGCAGATTCGATTAACTTTTTACGCCCCACTTGATTCCCTACGCCATGTGTATAAAAAGCCAACGATTGTTGTGTTCCAATATATCCGTGTTGCCTTCGCTTCTGTTGACAGGACTGCATTGTGACGCGCTCCGTTGAGGAATGGCGTCCCCAGAAAGCTGGTTCCCGTGCTGCGTTGGCCGGTGGGCGAGTAGTCTACACGTTTGGTTTGCAACCATAAGGTCACCGGTTCGAATCCGCGTAGGGGTGGGCGTCCTCGCGGTATACACAGCTCGCGCGCTACTGGTGGTGGTCGCGCGGCAGCGAAGCGCCGTTACGGCGTACAGCTGACGCGCACACACACACACACACACACACACTGACTTCAGGTTGAGTTGGGGCTTATGCGAAGCCTTTACTTTCTCTTGTTATTACCAGTGGGGTTTGACAAGAATGCCGTATCTCCCCATTCTTCCTTACTTTTCTATTTAGGATGTCTTGTGGAATGTTCTAAAAGATTCGTTGAACGCTGGCGTTGAACTCTTCCCAGGTAGTCGAGTAGTTGATCTAGACTACTCTGCTGGGTATCGGTCCACAGACTGTCCAGTCGCCTGGCGATTGTAGCATCAAACTATGGCATGCACTCTTTTCCATCAAAATACAAATCTACTTCAAAAAATAGCACCACCACTCTTCCTACATGCGATAATTCCGCGATACTAAGTGATAAACCGATTACTGTACTCATTTTCCTTAAATCTTTTAATTTACGCCAATTCTGTTTTCAGTCTTCCACTGCTTTTGCACGAAATCAACTTTGTTAGTTTACTGTCGTCCACAATCCTTGCAAGCTTTTGGATTTAAATCTGGAACTCTCATGACTGTATGCTCTTACTATTTGGTGAGGACCGGTTTATTTATTAGCAGTCCAAGAAAACCTCCCGCTACGTTTCATATTGGACAACTGAAGATGTTGTGAAGTGGATGCACAAATATGCTGGGGTAGAAGGTGAAAAGTATGCTTCCGTATTTGAGCAAAATGGAATCAATGGTAAACTTACTTTTTTACACACGAGCTTTAGGGCACTGTTTACGTATCATGACGGACGAGTGGGCAGTACGAATTGGCGTGTCGGATCCGACTGACCGGTTTGTTCGTTTTGTCTTCTACAGTCTATCATCACAGTGCTGCACTTATAGGTCATATATGCCGCATGAGGCTGCGCTACGACTACGAGGATATCAGCAACTTGCTGAAACAAGTGCAATAATTCTAGTTTGTTCGCTCTCATTTGATAACTGTCTAAATACACTGTTTGCATTATCCTTGTTTTGTCTCGCCTGCTATTTGTACTTTTGATTCATCACTGTCATTTGAAGTTTTAGACCGTTAAAATGTCCATTGGCGCCACCGCCCCTAAAGCACCTATCTATCAGCTGGGCTCAAAAGCCTTAGCCGTTCCGATGAATTTGCATGTTTTAAATCGGAAGCGTCTCTGTAAACGTATCCAGCAGCGTTGGCATGACGCATTTGCCAACACTGAGGGACTCTACTCATCTTTAGAAGGAGTGTATATCCTGCTCCAAGGCGGATCGGATACTTTCCGTGGTGACTCGGACGCAGCCAACGTTTTCCGGCAGGTGAGCCGGTCTTATATGCACTTGTCGCACATTAACTCCAAGACTCAATATTCAGGGTATTTATGTCTATAGACTTTCTAACATATGCATAGCATTCTGTGTTTAATCAGTTTGCTGTTATTCGGAGCTCCATGTTGCTTTCCTCCACTTTATCGAAAACTCTGACAAGGTGCATTTTAATTCTATAGGTAGTTTCCAAGAAAGCACTCTGTCGAATTCGACTCTCATTATTCATTTGTAATAATATTTCACCAGCGTGTCAATGTGTTGTGAATGCTTCACTCGTATAGCGTCGTTTTACTGCTTACTCATCTCCACACTTGTTTAATCATCGACATTTGTTTAAAATGGGGTAACTTTGGGCCAACATGAAAAAATTACAAAACCTAGGTTACACTTATTTTTCTTATTTTGTGGGTAGTGAAATTGGTTTTATGTGTTGAAATTTCATTTTTCATTAACTTAAAATCCTTTTATAATGAACTGGATTATCCAGTCTTCGGGATACTTCCTCTCAAAGATGGGCGGTGTCATGATGTATTTAACATACTGTGAGTCATGTTTCTAAGAAATTGTCTACACTGACAACCATCCCTGTTGTCGTTTTCTGAATAAGTATTAGTAAATGTATTTGATGTTATCCGAGTAGAATTCTCATGCATTATGTTACTGTCTTTGTGGCCAATGTTACCCCAATAAGCTTTGTTATTTTGGGATAACTGGCCAGTTGACCAAGTAATCTTTGAATAGGCAACAAATATCATCAGGGGATTATGAACTCGTCAAAGGCAGCAATTAGTATAACGTTTTCTGGTATCGGTGATGGCGAGTCACAGCCGCCACATGTAGTGTGCAAAGCCGAAAAGCTTTGGGACTCTTAGACGGAAAGTGGTCCACCAGGCACACGATATAACAGGTCAAGATCAGGTTTGTTGGACAACGTCTGCTTTTGACTGATTTTAGCGAGTGACATTGCCTTTCTGTCGCAGAAAACTTGCCGTTGTGTCCTTTGGGGTGACCATTCCAGTTCACCTTTTCTCTTGACATTGTCAAACTGCAATAGAAACAACAGTCCTGTTTGTTGCCTCCCACCTAATTCAGCCCACCTCTACTAGCCTCTAGATGTAGCACTCTTTCGGCTTATGAAGACCCATTGGGGAGCCCTGCTGACAAAAATATAAAACTGTGGCAACTTGGCCCAAACCATCCAGAAGTATGGGTTTCCGGGGCTGCTCAGACAATTAGATCCCGTGGGTAAACGTATTGCAGCAAAATTGCAGGTCGGCGTTTAGAACAACTGGCATGTACTCAATAAATCCCCAGTCTGTCCTGAGCAGGATTTCAGAAGAAAATGAAGAAAATACGGATGATGTCAGCACCTCCGTTTCTTAGGTATTCAAGCAACCACTGAAAGAAATGCGATTTGCCACTGATGAAGAACATCTACTATCCCGCAAAAATGCTCTGAACGTCCAGCTTGGGAAAAGTATCTTGGGTCCAACCGAAATGATTTTTACCGGAATCGAGCTTTGTGCTAAATAGAAAGTGACTTGGCAGCCGAAGTTTATCTAAGAGAAGCCGGTTACTTGCCCTCCGTTGGTGATCTCAATGACAACCGGCTAGGAGTTTTCTAATTCTGATGACGAGTGTGTTCCAGCATCAAAAAAGCCTGTCGAACTCGAAAAAGCAATTTTGTGAAGCATGCTGAAGTATTTAACACAACTGACTTATGTGTACAGAATTGCATCAGTCAATATTTTTTTACTGCATTGTAACAGTATAGCCCATGAACAGATCACTTGATAATGTTCGCAGTAACACTGATAAATGTGTAGTACACTCCAAACCAAAAAAGTGGGCCAAAGTTACCCAGTTTTATGGTATATACGAAGTACTTTTGCTCCATCTGCGCAAATCTTTTTGGCTATTAGAAATCAAACTCCAGACTGATTACCCTCCCTTGTCAGGAAGCAAAACTACACGCTATACCTAACGATGTGCAGGTCTGTTCAGCTATCCTGCTTCGATGACGCGTTCGTGATCGTTTTCCACCACACAATTTCCAAGGCGCTGGTTATTAGCCTACACAAAGCATAACGGTTCCAGATTCTGATACTTCTATTTTAGCTCAAATTTCACAATAAACAGCCCGTATCTGCTTTTCCCCTTATCATCTCCTGAGCGATATTCGTTATTCCCGACTGTTCCATTTTGTTTGATGGTGTCACTTATCATTAATTTCATCAAGGAGTCATTTTTCCATTGGACTTTCGGTGGTCTGGAGCCGGATATGTATGGGGCGATTGAAGTAGCCACTGGGAAATCAATCTTATTCATTACTCGTATACCCGAGAAGGTACTTGTCTACGACGGAGCGCCTGACGAACCAAGTGACGTTTCAAAGAAGTACGCTGTCGACGAGGTATATTACACAGACGAGGTAAGTCACTATTATAACTTGACTCTGAAAGCGCTCACCTCTCTCTAATCGCCTGTTCAAATAGATCGTGCTCTAGGTTGTGGACCACCGTGTTATCCGAACAGTAGTGTTTAAGCTTCGACCGATGAGTGTATATTCACTCAAACAGGAAAACGGTTCATGCAGGAAAACCAAAGGTATATGAGTCCAACTCAATGTTTTGTGTCAACTTAACTGAATTATTTGAGTTCCTGACATGTACACAGCTCCGCCACATCCGGTTGTACTTAATTTTGCACATTCTCTTGAACAGCCTTCTGCTTCATTTGACTAATTAATCGGTCAGTAGACCGATAGGGGCTACGATAGCCCTCGCTTTAGCAGTGACCGTGCAATTTTGTATGCATTCGGCGATCTTGTCTCAAATATATCGACTTCTATTGGCTGAGTCTAGCTGAGCTTCCTGGCTTTTGTCAGGGTTCTTTCTTATTGGATATCTCACTACATTGGAATCATTTCGATATACTAATGAGTAGACGGATTTGGTTATGATTCGATTTAGTTCATCGCAATTAGATTCCAAGCCGCAAAGATAACCTACAAATCCGGAAAGCGTTAGCCTCTAGCGGTCATGGGTTCGATCTCCATTAAGAGACCGAAGGATGCGCACCACTGACGAGCCCCAATCGGGCGAAACCCACGTCTGATGTTTTCCGGATTGGTAGTTTACCTTTGCGGCTTGGAATCCAATTGCAATGAACCAAATATCATTTCGATATAACTTAGTCTCATTTCTGATACGGAATTTCTTTTGTCTTAAATGCTTTTTTTCTCCGTTTACTTTGGAAGGTCTTACTGTCTCTGTGCTTTCTCATTCGTCGCTGTCTTAGTCTAGGGTTCTTCAAAATGCCCAACTATTTACCTTGTGAGGTATGTTCCAAAGTTGTCGGACATCGGGTAGATGCACCCACATATGTTATACGTGGTGCAATTATCCACACTTCATTCATTTTCGAGGTGCCTGTGAAATATCCAACGAGATCTCCTCCATACTTTGTGTACGTATTGCCTCCCGCAGCCCCTTCTGCACAGATAACGTCACGCGACTTGTGACGAAACGCCTGCCATAGAATTGCTCATCTCGACGAACAACTCATCAGTGGAACAGCAAACCCAAGCTACCGATATTTCGAGTGATTTTAACCAGTCATGATTCAACTCACACCTTCCGAACAATAGCATGTGCGGAAATAGGGCGCCAGCCGAACTGCTTTTAAAAGCGCTCTGCCTGATCGGCCAGGTGGTGTTTCTCATTGGGAATTAGTGAACCGGTGCGGAACCTGATTGTATTAGTTCCTCAAGATTGCCTGAAATTTTCAACTGTAGTTTACCACTGCTCCTACCTCCTCAGTTTCTTTGGCCTTTTTGTCTACCAAGCTTTGTTGTCAGAATACAGAGGTGATGCCTGGTCACGATGAATTTTCTACCTGGCTCCATCCAACTGGCTCACATTTTCTTCGGATATTCGGTGTTTGATGGCTGCTAATGCCCCAAAATATGGTTAAAAATAAATGAAAATAACTGAATCTTTGTTCTCGATAACGCGAGCTACACTTGTAGGGCCATGGTCATGGTAAGAGGACAATCAGTGCTTGGTAAATGTACAAAAATCTAACAAGTTTGTTGATGTTGCATACACCATGCCTCTTCACCGCAGTTGGGCTACACCGACTTACATTTAAACTAGATCTTCTTGACTTGGATAATAAGTATTCGACGTCTGTGGATTAGATAGGATTGTCCGGATAAGAAGGGGAAAGTGACTTCAGTTGATGATGAGTCACAACCGGCACGTTGCAATGTTGTTGAACTTGCATTGTGGCTTGCCAAGCGAAAAACCACCACAACCTGGAACACTGCCGCCGAACTATTTGCTGGAATGGAGTAAACCCGAACCACCCAGCTGGCACCACGGTAGGTTGTTCTGTTAGTCAGCTTCACCTTGCCTGAAGAGTTTCTTATCTCTCGCTAATTTGTAGGAAAATGACTATGAAATTTCGCTATCTTGTCTGCCTCTGTAGTGGATTTTCACCAGATGGCCTCTGCTCAAACATTGCGTATTCAGCCGGTGACGTTGTCTTTCATTCCTGCCCAGGAGCTATGCACGCGCTACTGAATTGTCTGACAGTGGCATATTAAGGGTAAAATAGCGGATACTTGACAACTCCCATAGGGGGAATAAAATCAGAATCCCAACATGATCTAAAGAAAGCAAATGGATGAAATTAACATCGTTTTAATGGACTCAGCAGTGTTCACACATAGGCATGCATGAAAGAAGCCAACCGCAATTGTGTAGACTAGTGCAGGTTGTGTAACGTTCATCACATTATATCCTCTGTTGATCTACGCAAGCTATATCTCGAAATAGAGATGGGTTAAGACAAAGCGTGTTTTAAACACAAATAAAGTGAGGGAGGAAACAACGTAATTTGCGAAGGCGTTACATGGCTCGCACACACAAAGAGAATAACAGTTTCGCCGACATTTTCGCCGACCGGATTGCGTGACCAACTTGTATTGGTGGCCCATCAGATTCGAGTTGTGACTGTTACAGTAGCTGGTGGCAGACGTCTTTGGGATTCCTCAAAATCTGGTAGGCCATTGTTGGGTCGCCACCTAGGCAACCATACCGGCCGATATACAACCTTAGAGTCCTCAGCCTAAGTTGATATGAAAGTTGATACCATCCTTTGACGTGTTTTTTAGCTTTTCGCTGCGGAGTCTCGAGCGCTGCGAGATCTTGCTTGTGCCAGGACTGCCAGGCCTGGATTGCGTATTCCAAATGAGGCCACGTGTATGTCTTAAGCAACTGTGGACAAATAGATGGATCAAACCGCCTGAATTCCCTCCGCAGCATGCCAATGTGTTGGCTTCTAGTCTTCAACACCTTATCGGGTTGTTCTGAGCAGCCAAGATCAGCCTGGATTAATACCCTAAGGTCGCGCTCCTGAGAGACTGCTTGTAGTTTATAGCCTCCAAGCTTGGATATGTTGTCTGGCTGGTGACAAACCTGAACCATATTACACAGACGAATTAAACTAGAGCAGAATGCAGAGTGACCATCCACACGCCCTACCCATGTCTCGTTGAAGTGCATCGTGATCTCCTTGGTCGGCAATCACCAGCCACATGTTAAGATCATCAGGGAACAACGAGAATTCCGCGGCAATCAAATGTGTAAGCTCGTTAATGAACACGAGGAATCGACGCGACTCTAGAACTGATCTTGTTGGAACGCTACATTCGATATGAATCGGACCCGATAGTTCATTTCGAAACTTAACATGCAGTTACCGATTATGTAGGAATTTCCTGATCTACCGAAAGATTAAAAAACCAGCTCCAGTTTTCGAGCCTGTGAAGCAGAATTCGTCGGCCCAGTCGGTCGAAGGCTTTGGAGAAACTGAGGTAAATCACGTGGATTCCGCTACCTTTGTCAGTCGCTTTCGTCCAACTACTGTGTACAATCAGTAGGTTGGTTATGCGCTAACTGTGGTGGCGGAAAGCCTGCTCCTTAGGCGCTACGGTGTGGCATTCTATACCTTTTCGGAATCAAGCTAATCCATAACGGATTCAAGCTCCTCCTTAAGAATATTCAACCCAATTCATAAGCACATCAAGTTGAATCCGTCGTCTTGACCAATTGCAAATCAGTACAAGAATACTCGGAACATATGCATCGGTTGGTGGAGCATTTAGACTGCTCTCAGCCAACAAACAACGTGATGCACAGCGGACGTGAAAACAACACGTGAGCTCATCCACTGTAGGACAGGTGCGGACTAGCACGTGACATCTATGGACGGTTGAAAAAGTACTGTGACTTCCACCCACTCACTTACGCGGCATCAAGACACATAACACAGAAGTGGGCGGCCATCCGCGCTCATAGTGCTCACTGTTACCTGCGGACGACGGACATGAAATGAGAGAGTATCGATTGCCTTTACTGAAACTAGCCGCATGCAAGCAGGTCCGTTAACCTCACGTGATGTGACCTAGACTTAGCGGTGTCTACATGTGAGCGGTTGTGGTTATTGGTGGCTAGGTGAAATAATTAATGCGTGCGGTGCTTCACTACGTGCTATCATGGAGCAATGCGTTAGTTATCGGTGGGTGTGGCCGAATTACCTGTTAACTGCAGTTGATCGGCCTTAATGATGAGGTTAGCATCAGCATCTGCACAACAATGCATGATCCACTGCACCGAGCTTTGCGGAAGAGTACCGTGTTAATTGTGATAAGGTTACCGGGTTGGCAAAAGTGCGCATTTACTGGTCTATATGCAATCGTTAGTATAATATAGCCGTTGGCAGGGTGAAGGCATACGTTTGTAAAGAACCGTCATGAGTTCGTGTGAAACGAAGATGAAACGATGATCTAGGTTAACGTTAGCGCACTCCTCACCAAGATGCCGAAATGCAACGCACTGCGTATGGTGAAACGCTGTTTGACTGAAGAGATTAACCTAGGGAGTGACCGAAAATTAATTTGGTTGAAACAACTGAAAGTAAGACATTGCGCGGTATGTTGTTCTAGCTCGGGTTTCAGTCGGAAGTAGGCCCTCAAGAACATGATGCTATCATTAGATCGCCAATGTCCACTATGTTGTATATAGTACTGGCAAATTCCAGTAAATGGCCAAAAGTTATTGGTATCAAGTGGGTGGCACATTTTAAAACAAAAGTGGATAAGAAATGCTAATTTGTGAGGAATCTGAAATCGCCCACCATAGTAGCACATCGCCATTCCTTGACTGCTCTGTTTGCAATAATGCTTAGCTTCCGAGCCGATATATCGTCAACCGACAGACACAGATGGGACACAGCACTACAATTCCGATCTCTGTGTTCCACAGATAAGGCCATGTGCACAGAGAAGGAAGTAGACAGTAAGGTAATTCCTGAATAGTGGACACCTGAGACCGGTAGTGAAAGACACGTTTCACAATATGCTAA